AATTAAAACCCTAATTGATTAAAACCCTGAGATAATATTCAAAGAAAATGTTCAGAATAATCTAAACAATGAACCAAACACAGTGTAAAAACCCTAATTAAAACTCTAATATGAATTAAAACCCTTAATTTGACAGTGTGTTAGAACAAAAACGTACATAAAAACATAATAATACACAAATCTAAAAGGCCAAAACCGTCGAACAAACCTGAAAGAGAGAGCTTTCGATCGAGAGAAAGAGAGAGAGGTCACTATGCTAGGTTGAGAGAGAGAGCGCGAGCGAGAGCAGGGTTGAGAGAGAGAGAGCGCGCGAGCGAGAGCCAGGGTTGAGAGAGAGAGAGAGCTCGTGAAGAAACTAAATCCCAGATTCACTTTAGAAAGCGTTTCATAGTTTAAATTAAATTTCTGTCTATAGTTTTGATTTAACTTTTTTTTTACAGTTTTGATTTAATTTTTTTTATAGTTTTGATTTTAATTTATAAATTTAATTGATATAAATTTAATGTCGATCGCTTTGATAAGCGAGGTTGCTTCAGCTAACAACAGGTTTTCTCTATTATTTATAAAATTCTTACAGGCAGCCATTAAATCCTCCTTATCATTTTTTTTAAAACACCTAACCCTCATTGTTCTTCATTATCAAGGGTGACATCAGAGTTACATTTAATCCATCATATATCAAGAGGTTTACATCTATTGCATTCATGGATAGGCTCAGTATCTTCAAATAAGGCTTCACATCTAATTTGGTCATCATGTATGTTCCTTTTAACCCCAAGTAGATCGTTATATATCAACTTTCTTTGATTTGACCCTTAATTATTGTTAACAGACTCTCTGGTAGTCTTTTTGCCTTTTGACATGTAGGTGATGTTCTTAGCACCTTTCGCAATGTTCTCATTTAGTCCTTGAGGTAAAAAGCTTCTTTTGTTTCTTATATCATCAGTATTATTTCCTTTGCTCGTAGATTGGTTCTGATTCTCATTTTGGTTTTGTATCTGAGTGTTGGCTTTGCTATTGTGAGACACATCATACCATTTTCTTGTGATAGGAGAAGTTCTGAATTTCCTTAATGTCATATCCCAAATTTGTCCTACCCGTATAGTATTACCCTCATTTGTATTTCTGTTTACTAACCATTATTAAAAAATTTTAAAAAATGAAGTTGCTTTCATTTTTTCTTATTACCTAAGTCCAAGTTGTTGCAAGGTTGAATTGGGTTTCAGGTAAGGCTATCAGGTCAGGTGTGTGTGCAGTATTGGTTGAAATTCAATTGGTTTTGACCTAATTCTGGTCAAACAAAAGTTTGTTTCATGATCAAGTTATTGGTGCTTCATGGTTGAAGAATCATCAGAATCCAACTCATCTTTTAGTTAGGGTTTTGTGCAGTGTATTGCAGTCCATAGTTCAAGTCACGACTCTCTAATTTGAAGATGTTCTTGCTCAATAAGGTGCAATGTGAAAGCTTTGTTCTATTAGTATTCAAGTGGTCAAATTCAGAAATTGATTCATCGATGGTTTTATTGTTTCAAGTCTCTATTTCATCTAAAGATTCAGATTGCTTCATGTTCATTTTCTCATGATTAATTTAAAGATCGTTGGAAATTGGTTTTTAGTGCGATTTGTGGATTCAATTCAAGTGTGGTATTAATTTGTAAAATCCAATCAAGGTTTTCAACATAGTTCAAATATGATAAAACAATCCAAGCCCATTTCACTACAAATTCAAGTCAAAATGGAAGTGCAAAGAATTAAAGATTTCAAATGTGCAAAACTCGTGTACATAATTCATAGAGCCTAAAAGTCTATTATTCTACACAAAATTTGTTCATGGAAATGAAAAAAAGAGAAAGGAAATTCTACAAATAGTCCACATTACAAAATTTACAAATAAATGAGAAAAAAAAAGCCCATGCAAGTTGATACCTCAAAACCCGTCATTCAAATTACATGAAAAATGCCACACACAAAAAAGGAAGTTACAAGTCACTACTTTCCACATAAAAGGCTACGTTTCCAGCAAATTCTAAGCCTAACCAATTACCTCATACCAGCCATGAGTTACACAATACAAGCACAAAATAAAAACCAAGCTCGTGAACAATATTACAAGCCAACCTTCAATAGAACACACCCCGACCACTACATCATGCTACCAAGCCTTCCAATACACAAAACGCTAAATCAAGCCACAACGCAAACTACAATCCACATCACATGCCCACCCAAGCCATTCCAACTTCATAATTAGCAAACTCCCAACGATACACCTTTTACAACAACAAACAACTCTTCACAGTCCCAAGCCAAGGCATGACACGCACATGATAACAATCTTCAGGCCAAGTATACAACCATCGTAAGTTGTAAAAACACGTCATAACACCAAAACAATTGCAAACACAAAACACACAAAGTTTACATAAATGACAAAACAAAATTGAATCATTCATTCACCTCATGATACTATAAATAACACACCCCCTTACTACAAAATGAAGTTCTCTAGGGCCAAAATAACACTGCTGGAATTCCACTAAACTCTCATCTACGTAACAGCTAAATCGAACCTCACCTTCAACCCAAAACAATCTTCAAATCCCAACCTTCAACCATAAAATTTCTTCAATCAATCCATAACTCACCTTCAATCACAACTCCAAATCAACAACCCAACAACATAAATCGCAACACAATCGAACCAAAATCAGAGACGAAGCAGAGAATTAAAATAAAAGAAAATTGAAGGAGACGTGCGATTTTGAAATCAAAATGAAATAGAAGGAGAATGAGATTGAGAGAGGAATTTGAGAGAGCAAGATCGAGACAATAGACACCAAGAAAAAGAAAATGTAATAGAGTCTTCTGATGTTTTTTTTCTCTTCCTTTAAACTCTTGTTTCTTTTGTTAGTATGTAATCCTTGTTGGCTCAGCCCATGATTACCTTTTCTATGCACTCACCAAATCATACGATGCGCTCCCTCCCCCATTCTATTTTATTATTTTACTTCTTTTGTTTAAAAATTATTTTTATTTTCTCAAACTTTTTTATTGTATTTTGATTAACATTTTGTTTAGATCTTTTTCTTGATTTATTTTCTTTTTCATATATTCCATTTTCATCTCTTGATTTATTTATTTTTCTTTTTCTTTTGGTCAATGAAGTCTTGATATCATGGATTATTAATTTTCAAAGTTGTTTAACCTTCATCATTTCAAATTTATGGGTGAATGATCATTTGGATAATTCTCTACACTTTATGATAATGATGGGTTACCTTTAATTAATCGGTGGAAGTTTTTGATTAAGACAAGACCGTTCTCTTCTTTTTTTTTTTTTCCGTGTGGCACGACTTTAGAAGAATGATCTACATATCACTTCTCTATCGTGTTTTAACACAAACATTTTTATTGACCGACCTCCCATAGTATGATCTTCCTCATAAATTGTGCTACAATTGCTTAACATATGCTAAATTGGTCCCAATTCGAGAAAGTGATCATCCAATCAATAACAATTAACAACTAACATCTAACTTTTACATTTCCGCTCTTTACTCTTCTTGCTATTTTACTTTCCGTCATTTACTTTTCCGCAACTTATATTCTTGTTCATATATTTCATTGCCCATTATTATCATCTTCATCTTTATTCGTTCATCTCATAAAAAATACAAAAACATGATAAAATGATCAATATATTCTTGTTCATATATTTCATTGCCCATTATTATCATCTTCATCTTTTATTCGTTCATCTCATAAAAAATACAAAAACATGATAAAATGATCAAACCCTAAAAAATATTTAATCTTTGACTATGGTTACTATCCTTAGCATCTTGGAGTTTTAGACCTTGTACACATACCCCAACAAAGGAGATTGACATTTTGGTTTAGTTTGGATTGATTTTAAAAAAAAATTTAAAATATGATTTGAACTGAGCGATTTTTATAAAATGATATTTAAATATATCTAAATTTTTTTGATTTTTTATTGTTTTTGATTTTTTATTTATCAATTTACAATTTTTATTCGAATTGATTTAAATTTGAATATATTTACTAAGTATAGTCCGTATACCACAATTAAATATCACTTGATTTCAACACTAAGTAAATATAATGCCACCTATAATCAAATACTCTCTTGTTGATATTTATTAGCCATATTTAACCGTATACCAACTGCAGATTCAAAGTTTATAATCATATCCTATGACAATACATGATTTAACTATTTATTTTAAGGTGTAAACATATTCTTAAAATATTTTTTTATTGAAAATAGCTTTTTTTTTTTTTCATTGTTGTTAAATTAAAACATTTTTTTGAAGAAATAATAACAAAATTCAAAAAGTTAATGAAACAATAAATAATACAAATATTTAAAGTCAAGAAAGCATCTAAATCAACACGCCCAAATAAAACTATAGATACTTAAGACAAAATTATGGATCAATAAAAATCTTGGCACACAAGATATTTCTATTATATATATATATATAAATAAATATAAAAATTTATTGAAATTGCCAAAAAGAAAAAAAAAACTAAACACATTGTTCTTTATCGCATTCACACGCGCAAACACTGAAAAGAAAAACGAAAACGAAGGTTTCAGCTCTCTGACTCTGACTTTTCTCCTATTGTATCTAACCTTCATCTTCATCTTCATCACCACCATTGCTAATTCAGTTCAATTTTCAAACCCGAATTCTTCTCAAATCCCAAAGTTTCTTCCTTATTGGCTTAATCCATAAGCTCTCAGGTAAATTATAAAGCTAATCACTTCGTTCACTTTTTCTTGATTCTATTTTTCATCCATATTCACCATCGATAATTTCGTTAATTTCCTTTTCAGGGTATAAATTAAATCCCTAAAAATCGTTTTTTTAATTAGCCCCAAATTAGGAAATAGTTGAGAAAGAAGAAGGATAAAATAAATAGAGGTATAGTGAAGAATTGAAGATTAGGGTTTTGTTTAATTTGTGCTAAAGATGGAAACTTTGGATGCTAATTCATCATCATCATCGTCATCTTTTGGAGGGGTCAATAGTGATGATAACAATGGTAGTGTAACTTGGTATGGGATGAGGTTACCTTCTGTTAACCCCTTTATGTCACCACTTTCATTTCTATTGGATTATTCTGGAATTCTTCGTTCTACTAGTGATTCTGAGGCTGTTATTGTTAACAATGGAGTTTCTGGTTCTGGTTCGGAATTAAGGTCTCGTGTTGATACTGATACTGCAGCTTCTGTTGCTGGGAGCAGTGCTGGGGAGGTTGCAATAAGGATTATTGGAGCTGGAGAGAGTATTCAAAATCAAGTTGGGGAGTTGGGTTATGATGATTGTGGGGAGGATTTGATTGGTGAGAGAAGTGGAATGTCTGCATTGGATGATAATGATGGTGGTGCTGGGAGTCGTGGGGGAATTGAGGCTAGTGAGGGGGTTCCTCTTGTGTCGTCTTCGTCTTCATCATCGTCGTTGGCTGGAAGTGGACGGGTTGATGGTGATGCTTCTGTGAATGGATCGGAAAATAATAGCAGGGATTCGTCTTCTTACCAGAGATATGATATTCAGCTTGTTGCCAAGTGGATTGAGCAGATTCTTCCTTTCTCCCTCTTATTATTGGTTGTTTTCATCCGACAGCATTTGCAAGGTATAACCATTTAAGTTCTTAGTCATTGGTTGTGTTATTGTTTTATTGTGTATGTCATGTTAATTTTGGCTTCAAACTTGTGATGCTGCAATATAGTCATGATTAGCCATTTTGCATTTCACTTTATATACTTTTTCATTATTAGTAGTCCATCCATTATGCAAATATTGGGAAAATTCGATGTTGTTTCTGATAATTTGTCAAACTGTTGGTTAAGAGCACTGGCTTGCTTGTTCTGAGGTAACGTGTTTGTAGAATAGTGGTTGGTTGGTCTTTCACTCTTGCTACCTTGTTAAATCTTTTCTATCGATTCCAATTCCAATTGAAAAGTGTTGTGTGCGGCATACGACTGCCTGTTGTTTTGAGTGAAGGGGCTTAGACAAAAAGAAAATATCAAATGAGAAGTTTTTTTGAGGATCACAAGTGTCTCTCTCACCTTTGTTTTATTTGCCGGTTCGCCCTCTCGAATATGTCCCACCTTAATAAGAAAGTTGCAACTTTTCTACTTGTATGGTAAATGCAAATCTTGTGGAGTTAATTTGGCGATGATATTCTCGCCACGTGTTTCTGTTGTGATCCTTTGTTAATAATATCAAAGCTTTACTTATTGAAGATCAGTATCTGAATTGCAATTGTGCCTCTTCTTATTTACATCCTCTTCCTCCAAATAGTTGTGTTCACAGTTCACACTTATATCACGACGAGTCTCCTCTTAAATTTGTACTTCTTATTTTTTCCACATTACCTGGTAGTCATTTATGAGAATTTGCAGGTTTCTTCGTCACGATTTGGATAGCAGCTGTGATGTTCAAGTCAAATGAAATTGTTAAGAAGCAGACAGCTCTGAAGGTGCTTTATTCACATCTTTGCCAATCCTTAAAAATTTCCGCTCCTAAACTAAGTTTCTATTCTGTCATCTCCTCACTCTAGTCTAAAACCATAACATTGACTGGAATAAGTTTTATTTTGCAGGGAGACAGGAAAGTTTCTTTGCTTGCTGGTATCTCGGTTGCTTTCATTCTTCACGTGATAGGCATTTACTGGTGGTATCGAAATGATGATATTTTATATCCACTGGTCATGTTACCTCCAAACCCGACACCTTTCTGGCATGCAATATTCACCATCTTGGTCAATGGTAAGGACTTATTCATGCAATGTTAGCTGACACATTTTTTCACATAGGCAATGGTGAAAACAACAAGATCTTTTTTTCATCATTTTCTTCAAAACACCTTTAAGTAAAAAAGCAACCAAATGCACCCTTATTTGCATCAGCACTTTTCTTATTGTTTGATATTAGTTATTGAGATATGTTTTGGATATTGTAGATTTATTTATATGTATTTTCTGTATTGTGCATGACGGTGAGTGAACACTTTGAAGAGATGGCCGACCTGTGGCATTTGTACTAGTCAGGGGGTATTTCCTTGGACATCCAACAAAGTGACGACCAAATGAGAAAGGGTCAGCCGTATTGTCATTGGCTGAACCCAAAGACATAGGTTTCTGAACTAGACAGCTCCAGTACCATTTTAAGAGTGAATAATGATGATTTTTATGTATTAACTCATGAATATGTACAACATTTAATAATACATAAGGGGTTAATCAAGTCAATCCCTTTAGTAGATATGAACAACATCTTTATGGAGTTCATTTAAATTTATTAGTTTACTATATTTCTTTCTTGGTTGATTGCTTGTATCACATCTATTCCTTTAGATTGTATTTGTGGTCATTAGTCATTCTAACTTTTGTTGGTATTAATGATCATCATTATTTAACTCAGATATATTGATGCGGCAAGTTGCAATGGCTTTTAAGTGTATTCTACTTATATATTACAAAAAGGGGAAAGGTCATAACTTCCGTCGGCAGGTGATTAATACTTTCCATACCAAAGTATGTAATTTTCAAGCATAGTTTACTACTACAGCTGCTGATATTGTCTAACTTTTGTAGGCTCAACTGTTGACTCTTGTTGAGTACACGCTACTGTTGTATCGTGCCTTGTTGCCTACTCCAGTCTGGTACCGGTTTTTCTTGAATAGGGAATATGGAAGTCTCTTTTCATCCCTGACCACAGGGTTGTATTTAACTTTCAAGCTAACATCTGTTGTTGAGAAGGTTTCCTTTTATATTTTTACCTTTATTAATGTGTAGACCTGTATTTCAAGATATTTATGTACAAATTCTGAATCATCATCTTTGCGTGTCTTAGGTCCAAAGCTTCATTTCCGCCTTGAAAGCGTTATCAAGAAAGGAAATTCATTATGGGGTTTATGCCACAGCAGAACAGGTAATAATGCAGTTTTGAAAATATTTTGTAATAAATAGCATATTGTAGAACAATATCGGTTTGTCCAAATTCCGCTTTGTTATAGCAGTTTAGCATTGCTATAGCTGCTATTTAACAACCCTAATTGTATCTAAATCTATCTATTCAATAACTATAATATAAGATCATGGCCCTCAAATGACATGTGACAGATATCTATACCCTCCATTACCTGCGAAACTTTTTCTGCAGACCTGTACTGTGTTGCAAGAGATTTTACTAGTTTAAACAGAAAATCTCATTCATTTGTTATAATGTTTTGATTCCGTGTTTTGTGAAACTTGTAGTTTTCTGATTTTGTAAATGCCCTCATATCTATATAACATGTACGTTAGGTATACAATTGTTAAATGAAAGAGATGAATTGCAGTTGACCATTCTCCTTCAAGTATTACGTTTCATCAATCTGAGGATAAAGCTATGCTAATGTATCCGTTTTCTATCAAATTACATCAAAATGATTTCTAACTATAAAAGTCATATGGATGATGTATGGTAAAAAAAGATTTCATGTACCAATAAATTTATGGCATTCATCAAGATAATTTGATTTGTTAGCAGTATTTCTATATTTTATTTATTTGTATACTTCCACATGGTGCTTTGTACATTTTTTTACTGGTGACACAAAGAGGGTCTTCGGAAAAAGACCTATGGTAGCTTGTTATATTTGTCCTGTCCTCTCTTATATTTCTCGAAAGTTTCAGAAAATGTTTTCGGAAAAAAACCTATGGTAGCTTGTTATATTTGTCCTGTCCTCTCTTATATTTCTCGAAAGTTTCAGAAAATGTTTTCGGCAAACTTAGCTAGAGTTTAGGAACAGAAGGTTTTTGTTCATATTCTCGAAAGTTTGCTACACAGGTTACTGCTGCTGGTGATCTATGTGCTATATGCCAGGAGAAGATGCATTCACCTATCTTATTGCGCTGCAAACACATTTTCTGCGAAGATTGTGTATCTGAGTGGTGAGTCCATATCTTTACTTCCTCATTTAGAACTTCTATTTCAACACAGAAAGTTCACAATATATCAAGAGAACAAAGGTTGTAATATGATTTTCTCTTATTAATGACTTCTTTTCTTCGTAACCAACAAAGACACTTTTCTTTTCAGGTTTGAGAGAGAAAGGACTTGCCCTCTTTGCAGAGCATTGGTTAAAGCAGCTGATCTTCGAACCTTCGGAGATGGATCGACAAGTTTGTTTTTCCAGTTGTTTTAATAAACCAATGATATTTGTGTTGGATCATAGTTTCAGACCAACCTCTACTGAGAAAGTATATCATGTTTCTTACTCTTTTGATAAGATTTTTCACAAACAGTATGGATATGGATGAAAAGTTCGCGTTCAGTTGCAACGACGAGAGATGTACAAATTAAGGGCTTTGCTCAGCCGTGAGATACTCAAAATCGGGGGAACCTGCTAACTTGATATATTCCTCATATCGTAAACGAACACATATTTGTTCATAATGTCACATTATTGACATTCACCCCCTCTTTTTAAGTTTGTACATGTTTTTGCACAGGATTTATTCAAATATGTCAACTAAGTTGTTGCACTTGGAAGGACTGAAATTGCCATATATTATCAAAAACAAATGCACTTGTTGATTGTCATGTTTTTTTCCCCTCTTTTTGCTCAGCTAGTAAAACTTATATCATAAATTGCTACGGGTTAAAGATCTTCTCCATTATTCATTCTCTATTTTTTTCAATTATTATAGTTTTGTTCAAATAACACACTTAGAAAACTTGTGACATATTTAATATTTATGTGATTTTTATACACAAAAATAAAAATTAAAATATTAGGAAATTGAGGATTCCTACTAAAAAAATCATACCAAAGGTTTTGATAAGGGACAGATAAAAGTATCTTTGGGAAAATCTTTCTTTCATTTCAAACTATGGGTGTATGTGGGTTGTGTTGAGTCTAATTTGATTAAATTTAATATTTGATAGGATCAATTTTCTTTGGGTTGGGTTAAATGTTTAACTCGTAATTTTAAGATGAATTTTTTTTAGGTTGGGTTAAACGTTTAACTCGTATTTTTAAGACAAAATCTAAATCAAATCAACCTATTTATGAATGAGTTGGGTTTGTGGGTCATCCACTAAATATAATTTTTAATTTTTAAATAAAATATATCAATTTAATTAATATATTTATATTACAAAAACATTAAAAAATTATAAATTTTTAGTATTTAATTTGAATAAGATTTATTGGTTAATACCTAAAAACTCTTTTACAATTCATAAAGTTAGAAGAATATACAAATAGTGTAAAGTATAATTTAAAAGGTAAAATATATCTTTCTTTAAATAAATAAAGTTGATCTCTCAAATTTAATTTAGACTCAAGCTTTTACAATTAATAAAAACTATAGATATATTAAAAAAGTATATGAATTGTAAGAATTATACTAGAAAATTTATAAATAAAATAAAATAAAAATAGTGTCACATATCACTTAGTTGGGTTCGTGAGTTCGTGGATTTAAAACTTCAAACCCGTTATCCAAACCAAGTAACAATGAGTTTGAATAGGTTGGTCCGTGTTGAACTCGTACATGATTGGATTGGATAAAAATAAGAGGGTTGAGTTGGGTGACTGAGTTCGCAAGTTGGTCCGTACCCATGAACACCTCTATTTCAAACTTTACAATTCAAAATCTACAAGAATTTCTTAATGCACCCTAGATGTTTCTAATGCACCATGTGAAATCCCACAAATGTCTTATGATTATGGAGATATATCTCCGGATGCACCTAAACGTAAGTGAACGTTGAAATATTTTGGAGATATATCTCTAGAACATTTTGGAGCTTAAACCGCGCCAGACTCTTATCCTTCCTCATTTCACAATATTCTTCAAACTCAAACTCCATCCTTCTCCTTCTCAATACACTTCAACTTCATCAAATAAAATTTCATCAAGCAAGGCTTAAAGGAACTCAAGGGAACATCAAGCATCATCTATTACATCATTCAACATCATCAAAATCATAAATTTCAAGTAAGTTTTTCGACTTTTCGGTAAATTTTGAGTTTTAGTGTAAATGTGTAGAAATCAATGATTAGGGTTAGAAATGTGTAGGAATGCATGTAACATAGTTTAAACTTAATGTATAACTTGTTTGTTGGCTGAAAATGACGATCAAAACATGTTTTCTTCAACTTGTAAGAGGTACATTCACGATTGCGCGACCTCTGCGTTGTAGAATATTCCAGAGATGCATTTCCGAAATTGTTCAGCGTTTCATATACTTTAGAAAATTTCAGAGATACATCTCCGGAATTTTCAGCATTTCATATACATTAGGAAATTTCGAAGATGCATCTCCGAAATTGTTCAACGTTTTAGTTTAATGGTGCTTTCGAAGATGCATCTCTGAAATTTCCCGCAATATTTTTTTTTATAAAATTTTCTTGCTTCTGTGCACTAATGATATGCCTTACTTTACCTTACAGGCATAATGGCTGACAAAGTCGATAGACTGAGACATGACAGAGTTGCTCAACACGAATTCGTTCAGCGGGAGTGAAACTAGTAGGTTTCGGAGGCAACATGTACATTTGGTTAGGTTGAGCCGTTGACTTATGGGGCGTTGTCTACTTCTAAGGCTCGTGCTTCACCTCAGACCACTCCATCTCAAGCCATTCTACCTTTATCTTCTTCCCATAGGAGACAGGATTCACCATCTAACGCGTCACTTCCCCCATCTTTCCGCAAGTGTCAGGATTCACTGGTTCCACCTCCTACAGATCCAGTGCTACGTCCCGCTGATTATTCTGCCGATCCAATGGCACCTCCAGAGGGTGAGGTTGCTGCAGATGCTGAGGCAGAGGGTTTTGGAGAAGGTTCATATGATTTGTCCTTACTTCCTTTGTATCTAGACCATACTGCCAAACATATATGGGACGAAGATGTAGCATTAGTTGGATTCTTTATTTTCTTATGCGTTAATTTTAATTTTAATTGCTGACATTGATTATTTCTGACATTGATTATTACTGATATTGATTATTTCTGGAAAATTTCAGAAGCATGATCCCTATAAGTTTCTTAACCATGAGAGGAAGATTGATGCATTGCCTCAGCAGGAGGATGATTGGTTTCAATCGGGTTTGATATTATCTGGCTTGAAGGACCTAGGCATGACCAGTTACACTCCGATCAACCATGCTTATTGGTTTCTTTGAGAGATGACACTATGAGACCTATTCGTTTCATCTCCCGCATGGTGAGATGTCTATCACACTGGACAATGTCTCGTGTTTGTTACATCTTCCGGTCAGGGGGAGATTCCTCGATCATGAGAGGATGATCAAAGACGAAGCAATTAAGATTATGGTAGAGTATTTAGGGGCTGATCTAGGGAAGGCGATGTAGGAGGTGGATAGGACCATGGGTGCTCCTGCTAGATTTGAGTTCCTGAAGGAGAGATATGAGGATGAGATCCTTAGTGCACATAAGACTAATGGTGATGTTGAGCAGGTGGTGATACACATGGCTCGTGCTTTGACGGCATACTTTCTTTTTTTGGTTGACACTTGCATTTTTATGGACATGAGTGCCACTTATACTGACGTTGCATACCTCCAATACTTCTTGGATCTCACTCGTATCCATGAGTACGACAAGGGGGCGGCTTGCCTAGCCTATCTTTATTCGATGTTAAGAGAGAGATTTCAATGGAAGACGAAGCAAGTCACAGGCAGCGTGATACTACTGGTGGTAATAATTATTGATCCTTGAATGTATTTTTTGCATTTTTATTTCATATTTGCGAAACCATTGTCGATAATTCTTGATTCTTGAATGTTTTTTTAATTCAGGCTTGGATCCTCCAGCACTTCTTGCGCATCGCTGGCTGGGCGAGTGTGGATGAGTACACTAAGGATATGTCGTGTGCCTGTGCTTTTATCCCGCTGAAAGGGAACCAGACAGTCCAACCTTTTAGAGTCTATCTTGACTATTCGGTTTTTGAGGACATGCACTACAATAACTACGTTGATCACTGCCAGACGCTGCCATTTGACGAGATAACACTATACTTCAGATGGTTGGCCTGCGAATTGCGTAATTGCTCCTCATCTGCCCGAGCACGTCATGTGGCAGTTCGGGTACACCCAAACCATCCTCAGACACTCTTCCATCTCTACGCCTCCTTCCTTGTCTCGGAGACAGATAGAGAAGATATTTGTTGGTTTTGAGAGTCATTTGATACCGAAGAAGGCACAGACTACCATAGTACCGAACGAATGGAGCTACGTCGATGGGTACATCAAGTAGTTTTTCAGGGTGTCACTCTGTATATGGTGCAATCTGCTTTAGGAGATCCTCGACACGAGCTCATTAGGAGATACTAGAGGAGGAGTGGGCTCAGCTAGACATACTGATGATGTCTTTCCTAGGTGTCGTCGCATATAGGAGATCGTGCGGGCGGACATTAACGATGTTATCTTTCCTGACGAGTCTGCTGTCAGGCGAGTTCTGGATGCCATGGTGGCGGAGGAACAACATGCACTGTTGTACCGGAGACATCGCCGGAGGACGAGGGGATTGATGGTCGAGGAGGAAGATCAGGCAGAGGAGGTAGATGAGGTAGAGGAGATGTTGTCAGACACACCCAGTAGTAGTTTGTTATTATTTTATTGTAGTATTATACTCTCTACTTTATTTTTACATTTTTATTAGATTTTGGATCTCGATTGTACAATATTTTTTATATATATTGCTATATTATTTTTGACACACTCAATATTAGTCTCTTATTATTTTGCACGTCTATTTTTTAATTCGAGATCGTGTTTCATACTTCATTTGAAAATAAATACACGACTTATAGCAAAAACATCTGTTCTAATATAGTTAGGAGATGTATCTTCGGAATATTACCGGAGATGCATCTCCAAAACAATTTAAATATAAATGATTTCTGAGTGACATATTCTGAATATTTAAAATGGTTCTGAAGATGTATCTCCAGAATATATCAACGTTTATTCATAAATATGTACGTCTGAAAAATCAAAAAACATATATAAAAATTCACATAGTAGATTAGAAATATTTAAAATGTAATAAGAAGTTTTCAAATCTAGTATGAAGCCCAAATAACTTTCATTATCCTATATTAATAAAAAAGAAAGTTGCTCAAATAACTTTCATTACTCTACATCAATAAGAAAGAAAGTTGTCATTAATAGAG